GGTGAGTGGAATGGCGTCATGGGAGCGTTACTGGGCTGTTTTACGCCGTGGTATGGTCTACTTCTGGCGCTATCCGGATGACGAGTCACTGGAAAAGGTTAGGTTTTGCTTTCATGTGTCCTTATTCTCATGCTCCCATCGGAATGCTTGTCTTAAGTACATAATTTTTCGATGTTGCTGTTATAGCTCATTTATCAACGTGTATTATACTAGCTTGAACTTCGATCTCCTCAAGTGAGGTGACGAAAAGAGCCGAATTTCCGATTTCATCAGTCAAATTAAGCTGCATCGTAGCATTAGGCCTTCTATGCATATTTTAGGATGCAGGACAATACTACTGCTGCTCTTGATTATGAATTTGCCACTGGATCAGGTTGCTGTTCCCGACAGAGATCATACTATACAGAATCATTTCTGTAGAGTGTATTTTGTGATCCCAACAAAAGGGCGATACCCTCCACCGCGATGAAAATGTTGTTCCCCCGAAATTGTGGCTTCTCATGCCCAAAAAGACGGCTGGCTGCATTCATTCATAACTAACTCTTAATAGTCGTGTTCTGTTGACTATAATGCTGTTTTTAGCGTCCGGTGGCGTTCATGGATTTGAGCAAGTGCACCAACGAAGAGGTTATGGCATGCAGTCCAGAGCAGTGTCCTCGTGAAAACTCATTCAGCATTGATATGTTGGTCTCTACGACTCCTTCAATGATGGAAAAGAAGCGGTAAGTGTCATTCTTACGAATTCACATGTGTCATCATAATTTTTCAAGGTTGATTGCTTGGTAATAAAGTGATGCTCGCTAGAATTGGAAGTAGTGGGAAAGGAAGGACATGTTTTTAGACCTGTTCGTCAAGCACAAACGTAGGCTTGGGACAAATTTGAAGGTGAAGCCGAGTATTGGCTTCTAGTGGGAGTTTTCTAGGCATCTGGTTATGTAAGGTCTGCAGTGCCTAGTTTTTGTTTGTTCAGTGGCCTAATTACGTTTCCTCCCACTTGGGAACACCAATTTACTTCACGTTAATTTCCATTTTTCATTTCATTTTTTTTCATTTCCAGTGTATTGCTCTCTGCGGATTCCAACGAACTTCTTCATGCCTGGCTACAGGCCCTGAATGAAACCTTATCGGTGCTTAGGGGATAGCAACGAAAGTCATCATGTTGCTCATTCGTGAACCCCTGTGAATAGTTTTCCTTTTTTTTTAATTTCTGGTGTGTTTTTTATCTTTTACATTCTACTTAATGGTCGACCTTATCAGGATTTCCATTTGAAACCTATGATAAGAGCGTAATTTCTTTGGGGTTCAAAAAAAAAACTTTCTCTTGAACCAACACGTTTAAATCCTTGGGGAAGAATGTTCTATGTGAGATTTCTCCGGATTGGCATTTTCCTGTGGATATCATTTTTGTATGTTGTGTAGTTTTTTTTTTATGGAGTTAATTGGGGCATTTTGATGGTTTATGATTATCTGGGTCCTTGATGATGGCGATTGGTCCTTAGGAAAAACTGCGACTTGTATTCATATCGGAGTGAAGAATTGTCGAAGAGCTGAGTTTTTTTTGAAGACCGAGGGGCGGGCACACTTTCAGACTGAGAAGTGCGGAAGGGGGAGGGTTTTCTGAAGTAATTTTCTACGAAAATAGCTTTAGAGGAATCACCCAGATTTGATCATTGGGATAAGGGTGAGCAGATGTCAGTAACATCAATGATACGGCTATTTGATAGTCGATTGAACCAAAGCACAGTGTTATTTTCTCTTCAACATTTCGTTGCAGACATAGTTTTCGTTGCTGAAAAAACATCATTTCGGAAGATTGGTAGGAAATTGTGGTTTTTGACAGGTGTTATCCGATTACTTTTACGGTAATGCATTTGAATTTTCACTTATTTGTTACACCATTTAGTTACTAGTTATTTGTTATTAGATGCTTTTATTCGAAAATAAATCGTTGGGAAGGTCAGTAAAGCGTGTGGAAGTTTCGTGACGATTCTTTCGGCGTTGAACACCTCTTTTTACTCGTTAAATATTGGCTACCTCAGAATCCGGACCTTGAGTGGCAATCGAAAGGTTGCCAGGCGGTAATTTTATTGTATAAGTGATCTTATCATGCTTGAAAAATGAGACAAAAAGCCAAAAAGCGGGACAGAGATGAGGTAACCTAAGGGAAAATTAGCACCTAAAACAGGTCAATGCAAAAAAAAAAACAAAAGTAAGAATTTAGTTCTTAAATCTTCTTAGGCGGTTTTGAACGTAATAACTTCGTAGGTAGGAACTTGCCAATGCTCCATTTGCGGGTCGGGCTGGGCGGTTGGGGTACGGGGCTTGCCATGAACGGCGATCACAAACATTCATAACGATGGCTTCAATGTTGGGGTGAAAAAGCTCGACACGGTAAAATCCTACTTACTATAAAGCGCTTCGTCTGTCGTTCTGTCTGTCGTTCTGTATGTCTGTCACGAAATTCCCTAGCTCCTCGCGATCCGCCTGGAGGGACAGGGTCAAGTGTGGGACGGGTGGGCAAGGTCCAACGAAGTACAAAACACACATCAGCTAAGCGGAGCCCCGCCCACAGTGGGCGGCGTCGCAGGCCGAGTGGAATTGAAAGTGCCTGACGACAGGGCGATTCTGCTTGGTAACACGACGTTCGGACTATGCCAAAAGTGCGCGTTAAAGGTGGGCTGCGATTGCTGATTCACATCGAAATTAGGGGGCCACAGGGCGAGTGTTCTCAAAAAAAAACAGTGCTGTGTCATGAAAAAAATTTCATAACTCGGCTGGGAGAAGGCCTCAGAGCAAAAGAAAGTGGGCAGCAGATGCCTAAGGGTGCTTTCGCGGACACATGAAGTGAACGGAGGCCGCACAATGCGGAGCGTGCTCTGAAGTATACAGCGGTTTCTACAAGCCCTCATAATTCGGGTCGGAGAAGACTTAGTGAGCCAGAAAATGGTGGATGGAGGGATGGAGGAGTGGAGGTCAACTGCCATCGGTATGCGGGGCATGACCAAAGTGGGTTGGGAGTCTGCGACGGGAATTCATAACTCAGTTCCAAGAAGTCCCGGAGACCGGGAAAAAGATGGCGGGGGAGTGGTGGAGGCGGAGGAGAGCAATCGTCATGGTGGGGGCTGCCATGTACAAAACCGTGTGGGCGGAATGTTTGCAGACGGGAATTCAGAACTCAGTTCAAGAAAGTCCGGGAGCTGGTGCGAAAAAGATGGGGGTAGAGGTTAGGGGAGGAGAGAGTGAGAGGCCCAATTTCGGTCGGTAGGGCGGGCAGTTGACCTAAGGTGGGCGGACGTTTGGGAGCGAAATCATAAACTCGGCTCAAGAAGTTCGGGAGCGGGAAAAAGTGCTGAGGGAGCAGTGGTGGCAGCTGTCATCGGTGGGAGGAGCTGACCAAAGTAGGAGTTTGCCAGAGGCTCGCAATTCGAGTTCAAAAGAAGGAGGTGTGTCGGAGAAACAGAGGTTGGGCAAAAGGATAGGGCCGAATGCTTGGCGGGGCATGCACCCGAAAGCAGGCGGGTTTGCAATTGGAAGTGGTGTCCGGAAGCAGCTTGCGAAAACCCGGAACAGGATAACGGTTGACTTGAGGGTTGAAGGTTGAAGAGGTTGAAAGCCGTCGATGATGGAGCGTAGAATCAAGCTGAGAAGTCAGATGTTCGCGGTGTATCAGCCCAAATTTGAAAATATTCGCCGCACCATCAAAATTTGCCGCCGATCTGTGTTGTGCGCGCAATGCTGCAGCGCCAACTGCTTAGATATAGGATAGGATAGTGACATGAATGTCGTCTGTCGCATAAAGCTGGCCTTCTGTCTATGTAAAGCGATAAACATCCTATTTTTCACATAAAAAAATTGTTTCTTTTCACGTATGATGAAAGACAAGCATGTCGGTAACGGGTGAAAACGTTAGAGAAGCCAATAGAATCGCGAGGATTCTTTACGCGTCTAACGCGGATGCTCATCTGCGCCACTTGGCGGAGCCCTGCTGCGGCTATCCGGCGGCGGTTCGTTCACTCGTCGATGCTCTGGTGGGTCGTCCGGCTTAGAGAGCATGGTCGGTGAGATTTCGGTCGACCCGTTATTCGAGCCCGTTGGTTGAGCACTATATACATGGGCACTGGTGAGTACGGACACGTTTACCGTCCTTGATTATCGTTCGCAGCAGCAAGTTAGGCAAACTTGCGGGAGGGCATGTCATTGGAAATGTGACTACGGGAATGTACTACGCGAATTTTAGACAAAAAGTTTCTTTCAATATGTTTGCATAGCGAATTCGTCGAAGCCGTTTTGAGGTAGAGATGTTAAGGTTTATTTTTTCTCGTCGAAAAGGCACATCATTTCCATGATCCTCTTCGATGCCTCGTGCCTGCAGTTGCATCCAAATTTTATTTTTTTCCAAGGAAGTTTCGCAACCTAAACGATATGTACTAAGCAAAGTATTTCCGCAACTAAAAAAAATTAAGATTCAAAGTGTGCGTTAGTGTGCGTGTTCAGTTGTGCGGTGAACATGTAGTTCGGGGGCTCTCATATCTTATCGAAGTAGAGTTGCGGAATGACACCCATATTTTACCATTAAGGATAAGGATAAAGGATAAAGCATTTGCCGTTGATCAATCCCTTTTTGGGATGCGGCACGCATTCTACTTCCATTTGTACATTCGTAGTGGCGTTTGAATGCGATGTGGCCTATACAATGACTTGCGGGGGCCAGCCGATGTACAAGTCAGTGTTTTTATCCTCCCAGACAAGTCTGGTACCAATTAACCGACCCCGGAGGGATGGAAGGCTTGGTTGGCCCGGGCGACTCACGACCCAGGATTTGATCCCCGGACCGCTCGCGTGGTAAGCGTGCCACTTGCCACTACACCACTTCCGCCCCTTTTGTATCCTACTTACTATAAAGCGCTTCGTCTGTCGTCTGTCTGTCTGTCTGTCGTTCTGTATGTCTGTCACGAAATTCCCTAGCTCCTCGGGATCCGCCTGGAGGGACCGGGTCAAGTGTGCTGCGGAGAATGCAGACGGCAGGACGGATTGCTCAGACACCACTCAATCACTGGGATACGGCAACCTTCCATCCCCGCGTTGTCGCGGCCGCAGCGCTGGTACGTCCGTGGGACCCCCCCTCAACCGGTCGGATATGGACTGTAGCGCCTTATACATAGTCGGGAGCAGGGTGAATATCGCTTGAGGATTCCTCAACGGCACGTCGAGGATTCTCTGCCCGATCAGACACGATCTCTCGCGCGGACATTCACACTCGCCATGCGCGTGCCGTCTGTGCTCTCCGCGCGGATGTTCACTCTCGGCACTACTCTCGCATGGTAGAGAGCTATGGTCGAGGAATTCCTCGACCGTTATTCACCCTGGTGGACTGGTTTAGTAAACTTTTCTACGTTCGCCAAAACACCTCATCTCGTAATCGGAAGATGTGCTCGAAGAAAAAAGGTATTGTTTATTTCAAACTAGTCATTATTTCAGGCCAAGGTAGTCAGACAGAGCTTTGATACCTTCTCACTAATTGCAGATCAACCTTGTGACAAGTCAGTTTATCTCAAACCACTTACCATCTTGAAGTTCCTCTTGAAAGTTTCCCGGGTTTCCTTTACTTGTTCCCAAAAATTCGTTCCTTTCGGGAAGTTCCTCAAATTATAGAGAATCTTATAGACAGTATATGATAAAAAGGTAAAAGCTCGAACGTACCCTCCAACACTGATCTTGATAGCATTCTTCGGGAGTCGTTGAAACTGCCTATACAATCCTGCATAAGCCTTCGTCCACAGGGTTTCACTCCACGTCTAAAGGCAAATCTTACTTGTACGATGGGCGGAGAATTTCTAGAAATGAACTTAAAGGCAAAGTTCGGGCTCAGACCCACTTAATGAGCCTTTACGGTGGCTAGAAGCGCTAGGCACGCAAGTGTATGGGTCGCGTCACTTCCCTACTTCGAAAACCGTTATTTAGACGCTAGGCTCTAAGAACTTTGACACGCTCCACCTGCTGCGACACGCTCCGCCCACCGCTCGATATCTTGACTGCGTCGGAATGTTGATCTGCTATGCTCTCTCTACTTAGACTTCTCTAGCGCTCTCCGCGCTCACATTATCTCTCATCTCCCTGCCGGCCTTTTGAACTTCTCCGCAGCGTAGAGCAAAAGGCTCGTATTTCCTGTGCATTTCACGATTTTTTTTCTTTTTCTGCACTGGCGGTCCACTACCTACCCCTACTTTCACATTTGAGTGGAATTACCTCATAATTCAATCCTGAATCTTGCCTTTAAGCCGACGTTAAAGAGTGGTCAGGGTAAAACAACCGGAATGAACAGTATTTTTCGAGTTGTGCCCCAAAGTCATTCCCTGTTCGCGATCGGTATAATTGAGTATTTGAGTTTGGTTATGTACAGCAAATTTATTATCTTACGAAGCAGCATCGATGAACTGAGTCGACGCTCTTGTACCTTGGACGTGTTGAGACTAGAGAACCCCACATGATAGGTGCTGTGACCCAGCTAGCGGTATACGATCTGAGCGCGATCCAAGATTGAAATCGGGATATCACAGCATTGGTATATGCCCCTGCTCCCCTTTCTATCCGTCTCAGGCAGCCCAGTTAAGTGTTTCAAAACAACTTACGAACCAGACCCGATCTAGCCTCCGACCAAAAGCCATAGTATATCCCTTTTGCGTCTCGGGAAGTAGCGAAGCATATTTCATCTGAAAGAGGAATTCATCTGAACGGGAAGTCACTTCAGTGGACGTAAACGTGACTGCGAATGAGTGGTTGGCTTGGGTACCTATACAGAATGAAACTTGACTCACACTTGTAGAGGTCCTCGCCAGTTGTTAGCAGCACCAAGGAAAGCGCTGTGAAAAGGAACAACATTTTGATTGTGACAGATCGGTTCGGTATCCTGCCGTTTTATGCATGTCTGTATGACGCACTGAGGCCGAGCCAAATTAATATATTGTGTTTTCATAACATCTGCTTGAAATCTGTTTTCAATAATCCCATTCATTCTAGAGTGTTGTGCTTTGTTGTCGAATATTGCACTTCAGATAACAGAGTTGCTTTCTTCCCATACGCGAGCTTGCTCCTGTAGTAGATCAGTTGAAATTATCCATCATTTCGCAAGAATCAGGAAAATATTTTATATGTGGTATTAATATTTTTAAGGCAGCTAATGGGGTAAACAGGCCGCTAACAAATCTGAGTGATTCGTAAGGCGTGCCGTATCATTGTTTTGCAATGACATGACTGAGATAACACACTAGCGCCCCCCTCCCCCAACACCTACATAGCACACTTCCGGTCATTCCACAAGGTGCTGCAGTGGCAGCTGGAGAGCAGTGGAGGGAGGAGGGGGATAAGGAGAGGAGGAGGATCGCAAAGCTTACGCAGGGAAGGGAGGTTCCGGCGGTTGCCGGGGGACCAATCTGGTATACATATAATCGGCTAAGTGTGTCTGTTGGTGTGTGTGTGTTTGACCGGAAATTCATAGCTCGGGCACCAGTGGTCGTCAGGAGTTGGTTTCAAGATATGATATAGGGGGTGGGACGGGAACATTGGTGGGGAACAGAAAGTGATAACAACTGATAAGGGCTGATAAAAGGCGCTAGAACGAAAAAAAATCGAAAAATTCATAACACGCGGCTTAGCAGCAATAAGGTGCTGTCTTATATAATAGATATGATGTAGCGAACGGGACGGGAACACATTTAATGGATGACAATGCAAGATAAGGCTGATGAGGATAACGATAATGATGATTAGAGCTCGGAAACGGAAAAGCCACTAAATTTGCAGATAAGGAAAACACTTCATTCTATTCGCGATGTCGTCGTCAGCATCCTTTCGACCGCTAATTTGTCCGAGCTCCTTAAATGCTCGGTGTTAGCGGAAATACGATAATCAGTGGTGTTTCTATTCCAATGTCACCGGTATAAGAAATTGTTCAACCGCTAAACCACTACAACATCCGAGGCATGGTAGTTGTTTACGCTAAGGGCTGATAGTAAGCAGCAAAGTAATTGTATTGCTTATTCCAAGCCTGATCGGCCGCTAGACCACTTTCTAGGAAAGTGGTGATGTTTATGGATATTGACC